ATAAAAACCATTACGCCTATGGAAAGGCCCCATAAACCATAAAAACTAACCTGTGTGTGTGTGAGTGTGAGAGTGTGTGTGTGTGTCTGTGTGTGTGTGTGTGTGTGTGTGTGTGTGTGTGAGAGAGTATGAGTGTCAGTGTCAGTGTCAGTGTGTGTGTGTGTGTGTGTGTGTGTGTGTGAGTGAGTGTCAGTGAGTGAGTGAGTGTGTGTGTGTGAGTACGTTAGTGAGTGTGTGTGTGTGTGTGTGTGTGAGTACGTTAGTGAGTGTGTGCGTGTGTGTGTGAGTGAGTGAGTGTGTGTGCGTGTGTGATTGTGCATGAGTGTATGCGTGCATGCGTGAGTGTGTGTGATTGTGCATAAGTGTATGCGTGAGTGAGTGAGTGAGTGTGTGTTTGTGTGAGTGTGAGTGAGTGTGCGTGAGTGTGTGTGAGTGCGTGAGAGTGAGTGTGTGAGTGTGTGAGTGTGCGTGCGTGAGTGTGTGTGAGTGCGTGCGTGCGTGCGTGCGTGAGTGTGTGTGAGTGCGTGCGTGAGTGTGTGTGAGTGCGTGCGTGCGTGCGTGCGTGAGTGTGTGTGAGTGCGTGCGTGCGTGCGTGCGTGCGTGCGTGCGTGCGTGCGTGCGTGAGTGAGTACGTTAGTGAGTGTGTGCGTGTGAGTGTGTGAGAGTGAGTGTGTGATCGAGTGAGTGAGTGTGTGTGTGAGAGTGTGTGAGTGACCTGTGTTTTCCAGGTCCTCCAGCGTCCCTCAGCTCCTCTGATGGAGGGTACGCCGCTCTCCGCACTGACTCCTGCTCCTGTGATGATGGCAATGTGTCGGGCCTTTGAGAAGATCTCACGAAACTCAGCCATACCTGCACAAACACACATTCATACACATAACACACATACACAGTCGAAGTGGTTACCAGGGCGTTGCTAGGGTGTCTCGAAGTGGAATAGAGGTGGCACCAGCAGTAGTACTAGTGATGTCTGACTTGGTAAACAGCAGAATAATGTGTCTGTCTTATGTCTAGCCTAACTGCTGTAAACATGAGGCGTGTTTCCGCTTCCGCCACGCACCCGAGCTCGTCCGGATGCTTTGATTGACAGCTGTCCATCTCCCGCAGTGTGCTGCTGCCCTCAACATCAGCTGATTAATCAGCATTTATTGATCGTTAGTCTGTCAAAGGCAGAGAAATGTTACATTCGTGAACATCACTAAAAGTAAAATGAATTGCTTTAGTCATTAAACACTGAACACAATATAAAATCAAATGCTAATACTATTAAAGCACAGACTACAGTCCAGCTGGATGCACTTATTGATCCACAGACTCAATCAACGACATCAAACTACACTGCTATAACGACCAAAACACAGCAGATGAAATCAAAGAGCTGCTCGACTGATAAGCCAGATCCATCACAGATACTCATTCCTATAAGAATAATTAGCGCATCATACCTTTAATAATCTTTCTCTGAGGAACGTCACGGTGAAAATATCCTCTCCAGGCGTCGCACTTACCGCAAACTACATAAACATGTCGTAAAGGATGTAAAAGTGTCGCAAAGCGCGTCTGTTTCTATGGAGATGTAGTGTATCTAGTGGCAGATGCTGAGACTGCAGTCCAGTGCTGACCTCAGAGCCGCATACTAGCACACTAGGAACAGAGTAGCACACTTCAGCCAGTGCACACTCAACAGGCTGATGCGGGTAGTGTAAAGAGTTGAGTACAAGTACAGATACCTTACAGTGAAAATGAATAGTCACCAGTTCCAAAACAACTTGAGCTAAAGTCTTAGAGTATCTGATTGAAGCATTTTACTCGTGCTGAATAAAAGCTCAAAGATGCACTATGTAGTCACAGAGACGTGACAGTGAAATCTAGAAAGAGTTGATTTGTGAGGAGAGCAATTATGTTCATTTTCTAAAACCAAAATACAACTGAACACCTCAAAATTGCAAACAGCATCCTTCAAAAACATATCTTCGGTATAAAGGATGAATAAAAGAATGTAGCTAAAGTAAAAAGGCTTCTTGCACTGGATGTTAAACTGTCGCATGTTCTCGTCTCATTTCTAAAACACCTGTGATTCACAAAGAACTCACATTACGTGAAGCAGCCTTGTTGACAGATCTGGGCGAGTAAGAGCAGAACACACATGATATAGTGCTTTCAGTGTCCTGCAGTGCTGATAGCACAGAAGAGAGTGAGTGAGTGTGTGTGTGTGTATGTGTGTGTGTGAGTGTGTGTGTGTGTGTGTGTGTGTGTGAGTGAGTGTGTGTGTGAGTGAGTGAGTGAGTGTGTGTGTGTGTGTGTGTGTGTGTGTGTGTGTGTGTGAGTGAGTGAGTGTGTGTGTGTGTGTGTGTGTGTGTGTGTGTGTGTGTGAGTGAGTAAAGCACTAAAGAGCTGCAGAAGAAGCTATAGGTGCCATGCACAGTGTACTGTGTAACTGCAATCATCACAGATGGTGGAGTACAGAGTCAAAGTTACTGATATAGAACTCGTTTCACAAGCTGTTTCACCTGCTTTATATGTGTGTGCATGCATCTCTCACACTTGAGTAGCGTTACATTCTGATCCAGATAACCAAAATATGTTGTAAGAACCTTTTGCTAACGTTCAAGTTATAAAACATTATTTCTGAATGTTCAAAGTGTCCTTTTTTCTTGATTACAGGAATATTAAAGGAACGTTACATTTTGTCATTTTGCAAACATTATGTGAATGCCACTCTAGAATGTTCTCGGAATGTTCTGAAACTCAAATAAAATAAATAAATAAATATCCCGGAGCATTTATGAACAATGAATAAATAATGTTTCCATGCTAACTTGTTGATAACATTATTAAAGTCTAGATATCTTTGAGCAACTGTACTATTAACGTTAATGGAAGAATGTTTGTTCATAACTTTGACAGAACCTAAGATAATATTCTGAGAACGTTCTCTGTTAGCTGGGGAATCGGCTTCTTATTGTTTACTGGCAGGTGACAGATAAAATGTTATATTTGATTTATTTTGGAATGAAATTACTGAAATTATTATTTATCACTGATTTTGCAACTTGTGCCAACATGATATCTACAGTATATAAATGTTAGGACAAATCGTTCTTATAACTGTATTAATATTTGATATCATAAAGCTGAGAGAAAACATTCTGGGATCTACCAGCTCCTGCTTATGATGTTGTTCTTGAACATTCTAAGAAACGTTTGGCTTAACCTTTAAATAACTTACTAGTAACTGGACATTTTAACGTTCTTCAGATATAAAAAACAATAAACGTTCAAATAGTGTTATATTTGCAGTGCAGACGTTAGTATGTCTTTTTGTAACCTTTCAATAACATGGACAATTCAACGTTTTAGAAACATTTGAAAACAATATTCTCGCAATGTTTTATAACCTGTGTTACCTGCGGCACGTTCAAGCTCAAACCGGTGCGCAACGTCTTGCTACGGTTTCCGGTTTGAACGACACGTTTCCTGGAAATGGTGTGTAACGTGGTTTGAGATGCGTTTTCTCTTGTTTGGTGGGTGTGTCACACATGTCAGCCCAATCAGCAGCAGCATGTATATAAACCACGAGACAGCTCGCACAATCTACTTAACATCCAAATAAATTCACAACAGCAAGTATATTGTGTGCACATGTTTATTTACATTCAAGGCAAAATAACTGAAATAATAAGAGCACAAGTATAGATCTGGAACTTCTTTAAGTCTGTCTAAATATCATTTAGTCTTCTGGTGCATATCCTTTCCTTAGAAAGGTGTGCTAGACACTGATTAATGTAACATAAAAATACTATACATATTTATATATTTTGCTATTGCATCGTGGAGTGACACAACTTTTCTATACCCCTCTGATTATATAATGGTAACTATTACCATATCATAGCACAACGACAGTGATCAGCAATAATGATAAGCCTAATACTCACAATAAAAATAATAAGGTCATATAGATCCTAACACAGTCTCGGAGGTAAGAAGTGGATTATCCTTGCCTGAAATGTTTGTCTTTTCATCCTGATGTTGGATCACGATAATTAAGAACCGCAGTTTGCACAAACCCCTTCATTTGATTGGGATGTTCTCTTTTATTCTGGAGGGCGAGGGCAGTGACTGTAACATCCAGCATATTTTTCAGTATTAAACACGTATTTATACCGTTTCATCAGGCTCTGAAAATTCTTCCAAAAGAACAGAAAGAATGGCTTTCTCAGCTGCCATCGCTGCAACTCTTGCGTCATCAGAACAGTGTTGAACGCACCACCGTTTCTGCTTTAAACACGTTTTGCACCGTTTCGTCGGCTGAACGCAGCCCTGGGGTTAGTTACCTGTCACGTGACATCCGCGCTGGTGGGAATGGACCAATCACGCGGTCGCAATCGCAGAATGATGGGTTTTTTTTTTACAGCACCATGAAAGCTATTGGAATGGATTGCTATTCGTACGTCAGACACCAGTCCTCGGAATGAACAGATGATCATATATTACAGCATTATCTAATATTTCTCTGCTGGTGTGTGTGAGGCCTCGAGCGCCCCCTGCAGGAGCGCTCAGCTCGCGTCTCCACGAACACTGCCCCTCTCTTGCAGTCCGCAGACAGACGCTGTTGGAGTTTAATCGACACCAGCATCTGCCGCGACACTCTGCCCGTCCCGGTGAAGCAGCGGCCGCTGATGGAGCTCGATGGCGGCCTCTCGGGAGGATGAAGCCGTCCGGAGAGCGCCGTACCTCCGCCACACCAGGAGATCCGTCAGCCTCCAGACAGGTACAGCACACACACACACACACACACACACACACACACAACAGCAGGCAGCTTCTCACTGCACCTCACTGAGACATGACGCAGGGCAGCGGGGACTGACTCAGATGTGCAGTGATGATGCTCGAGTGGAGCAGCGGCAGCAGCATCTCTTGTTGCCATGGTGACCCGCCATCATTTTCAGCTGAGTCAGTACTAACGGGAGCACGAGGCGCGCGCTAACTGTACTACACTGCGTGAGACGATCAGGAGTTAGTTACTGAGAGAGACTGATGGCTGCAATCTGTGTCCATGCGCTCAGAGATCAGTGAGTCCAGCAGGATCAGATGTGGAGTGCTTGTGAAGTGCTGCAGGTACAGAACCACTGATCAGTGTGTGTGTGTGTGTGTGTGTGTGTGTGTGTGTGTGTACACACCCTGCGGTCTCACACGGGCTCAGACTAGCGCCATTATAATAGTACTGTTCATTGATCACAGATATATTAGCATGCATGATTAACACAATAAGATCAACCTGAAGAACAGAAATCTGCTCTCAACACACCGAGAAACTGCAAGATTATGACTGACTCATTCCAGCCCAGCTAACACAAATATCTTCTAAGAACGTTTCGCTAACGTTCCTGTTAAGTTATCAAACTGTGAACATTCAAAACACCAAGTTTTTTTAAATGTTTCTAAATCGATTTTTTTTTGTTATATATGATTTTTAAGTGAAAATTGAACATTGTAGGACTGTCACTTTTGAATGTTATAAGTTGGAATGTTCTCTGAACGTTTTGAAACAGATAGTAACATTGAAAAATGTTTCATGAACCTCCAACTGAAACATTTCAGGAAAAAAACATTGGAGTATAAACAATATTTTTGTGCTAACATTTTGGAAACTTTGTTAAAGACCAGATAACTCTAAACGAAGGATCTATAGGATCAGGAGACAGTCCTCCATAAAATGTGCTGCACACGTCGTGTCCTCTTTTGGAAGACCAAACAAAGTAGTTTCGCTTTCACAATGAAAAACACAGCTGCCTAGCGTGAGGGAAGCAGCGGCTTAGCGTGCGCTGAGGCCGGGATAGAGTGATGAGAAAGCAAAACTTGAAATCGCATCATATGACCCCTTTAATGTTAACACACTAGCAGACTCTCAAGCAATTCAAGCAGAAACGCGTGGCTTGTTGGTAGGAGATATGTGACAGATGAAAACTTTGTGTCTAAAATCATCTCAAAATATCAATGTTTAATATCCTCCATCACACACTACACGATTCATATATCTCCAATCTGCAGACTGGCTCTGAGAGAGTCAACTTCAAAAATCTGTGCAGAATTTGTGTAGTGCACTCCAGCCTTAAAACTACTCTATCAGCATTGCCATCATTCTTCTCTAATTATATGAGCCCTCGAGAGACTGTCCATAAAACGTGCATTTTTTTAAATTAACCTGTGCCTTGAAATTCTTTTGCTTTGCTAAGTTCAGTATGAATCAAAGTTAATTTCATTTTTACTTCTTAAAAGAAAACAATAACTAAAATAAAACTTCAGCATGATTAATATCTGAGCTGCTCGTCAGACTTTTGTAAGCTTCTCTGTCTGCAAGCTCAAGAACAGTTCAGCTTTAAGTGATGATTGGACTGTATGCAGATGAATTATGCTCATCATGCAGTTATAATGCTCCAGTCACGTTTAGTTGTGTGCAGTTTGTGTTTCGGACTCATTTATGAGTAGATTGAGGCCTGTGCCTCACACTCCATATTTTTTATTAACATTAATGAACTG